CCAGACCACCCTGGGCCTGCTCCCCATCTCCCCTGGGAAGTGCACCTCCTGGCCCTGCTCATTGTTCTCCTTCCATCTGCAACCAAGTCCCTGCAGTGAACCGTGGGTGCTGGGGTCCCCAGACTGCTCTTACTGGTCCCAGTGACCTCTGAGCTGCTGAGCCTGTCGTGGCTAGCTCTGGGTCTACTACCTATATCGTCCCTCTTGAAACACATGGCTCCAGTGTCCAGGCCCCTCACATACCCTCCTCTCCATGGCTATGCCTGCACGACCCCTCCTCAGACTCCACCTCATCTCCTTGGCTCCCTTCTCTTCTCACTTAACTTAGAAAAGCTTTATGTGCCATTGACTCCTAAATGTATGTGTTTGGCCCAGCCTTGGTCCCTGGAGGCTGGCTCCCAACGTGCTCCTCCCCTAGCTTCCCCAGCTCTGTGTGGTGGCACTGACCTTGCCCAGGCCACAGGCCTCGGAGCAGCCCTCAACCTTTTTCCTCCCTCACCCCATCTGTTCTAGTCACCAACTCTGTGGACTCTCACGGTATTCCTAGAGTGAGTGCACTGTTCACCTACACTACCCCCACCCTCGCACCACACGCCCGCCCCTAACAGCCTCCTCTGCTTGTCCACAGCACAGCCCGTTCTTTGCAGAGCAGCTGACAGCATTCCAGGTGTGGCTCACCATGGGCGTGGAGAACCGGAATCCCCCTGAGCAGCTGCCCATCGTCTTGCAGGTGAGGGTTGCTGAGGTCTCCCGTGGGGAGGAAGCCCCCACCCAGTACCCAGGACATGTGGAAGTGCAGGCCTTGGCCCTGCCACAGTCGGGGCATGAGTCACTGCAGCTGCTTTGTCCCTGAAGGGCTGCTCTGCTAACATCACTGCATCCCCTGCTCAGGGTGCGCTGGGTATGTTTGCAGCAGCCTCGCTGCTCTCCAGTCTGCACTCAGGAGGAAGTGAGAAGCTGCTGCAGCCCCTCTACCCTGGCACGGCTCAGGGCACATCACAGGTCATGATGAGCTCATGGCGCAGCACGCTGTGCCCAGTCTTCCTCTTCAGGGGCTTGTCATTGTGGCTGCTGTGAGGAGAGGCCCTCTCAGGGCATGCCATTCAAGCTCCTGTATGTCCTGTTCACGGGCTGGGAGATCACTGCCATCGTCCTGCCATCTGATTTTGTGATTAGTGGGATAGGAGGATCTAGAGGGTGTCATGGGAGGTAAACTTAGGGAGATTTTATAAAATTTTTGCTTGAGTGAATGTGTATTTGTGGGGCAGATGTGTGGGTTGGTCGACATCATAGGTGTTTACAAACCACTGGTCAGTGCAGCCATCAAGGTCTGATACCTCACTTCAGATGCTGAGCGCAGTTTCTAGTAATTGGGGGTGCTGGATTTGCAGGGAGCTGTGAATGCCTACGGGGCTGCAGGAGGGGGGGAGCCCCACCCCATCTGTGCATATGGCTGAGGATCCCTAAGTGTGAGGGACTCATGCCTCAGCTGGGCCGCTGCATCCTGCAAGCAGGCAGGGCAGGCTCTCCACCTGCCCCAGAGAGCTGATTAGGTCACTTTGTGTCCATAAAGCTCGGGTATATGTCTCTTCATCCACCTACCCAGGGACACTAGCCCCCTCCTTCCAGGAGGGCTGGTACTTCCTCTATGAAGGCTGTGGCCCACACTGCGCAGGGTGGGCATCAGTCTTCACTAGCCAAACCTCACTCCTGCTCAGAGATCATTTCCAAGACAGAAGAGCAGTTTATCTCCATCAGGGCCGCAAAATGCACCAGCCTCCCTTCTGCTGTACAGTTCACTTAGTCGCTGGGGCAGCTGGTAGCTAGTGTCCAGTTGCAACAGGACACCAAGAATCTCAGTCAGCAAAAGAGGGGTGGAGAAAATAAGTATCTGTAAATGTGAGAACGTTAACAGCAGCCTGTGCTTGCTGGTGGTGGTGAGAAGGTGAGCAGCAGTGCAGCCCTGTGCCATTTCCCCAGATGTTTTTGATGCTTTTTGGCTGTGGCTTTTCTAACATTATAAAAGAATTGCAAAAATTATTTCCTTTTTCTGTTGTGTGCTTCCAGATTAGCTTAAGTCATGAGATTGCAAGGTGAGCGGTAAACAAATAAACTAGTTTTCAAAGCAAAATATGTAATGATAACAGCTATGAGACAAAGCCAGGCAGGTGGCAGCACTGATGCTTTCTGTTTACTCAAGTAGGAAGGAGGAAGGAGGCTGTGTGTCAATGGCAGGTGGCAGGTGGGATTTTGGCTGGCAGAGGCTTGGGCTGCCTGATTGTTCAACAATGGACGGTGTAAAATTGGTCCTCTTCTAAGCAGGGCCACGGTGCCAGGCCTGCTGTGTCCAGTTCTTCTGTGTTTGTGAGCAGGCTTCTATTGCCTCTGTCCAGTAGTGTTCCATTTACAGTCCACACTCCCTCAGGGAGAGAAGTCCTCCCAGAAACAACTTTCTAATTTCAGGAAAGGAAATTAGAAATCCTGCAGAAACAAAATGAGGCATTTTCTTCATCATTAGAGAGGGTCTGTGTCAGGATGTGCCCAGCCTGGATCCGCAGAGGAACCTTTATTTAACCAGAAAATAAGGAAGAAACAAAATGCAAAGGCACGAGAGCTTCATCTGGTCTGGTCCGCAGTAGCTCCTTCCTCAGTTTGGTTAACTTCCTCTTGCCTTTTCTTAAGAATCTTTATTTTTATAGTCAAACTTGGACCCCATAAACCATACATTACTCTCTGCTGCCTTGGGGACGGACAGTGTTCCCTACAGACTCCCCCGTAATCCCTGCATTACCCTCCGCTGCCTTGGGGACGGACAGTGTTCCCTACAGACTCCCCCGTAATCC